AAAGCGGGGGCAGCGACCGAGACATTCCCCGCTACCGACACTACAATATACCGGGAAAATGTCCCGTGACACAAGACTCTATACCGTATGCAACTGAGCAAGTCTGAAGTATTTTGCAAAATAATAATCTAATAAGACGATATCCCATTACAAAAAAAAACTGAATATTTTTGATTCATAAACAATAACGTTTGGTAACATCTTCAAAATAAAATATGAATAGAAAAAAAGAATTTGAAGCGTAAAAATGTAAAAGTGTTCACGTGCTTTTCAGAATAATTATTTTGAAAAGAAAAAGTTTATAAAATGAAATGAGTAGTTTATCGTGCACGCCCATAAACAGTGCATATTGGGATATAATTTTAACGCACAACCATTTTAAAATCGTCAGAAGTATTTTTGGCATATATTTTCTTAAAAATATATTTTACCTGTGAATATTGATAATTAATTATTCTATCGTAATTGCAAAATACAAAAAACAACCTTACGATCCTCAACCATGTGTTAATTTCTTCAAAACATTAACTACACAATTTTTATTATATAAACTCGGAATATATTGATGGGTTTGCTTAATTAGGCTCAGGGCTTTACTTTGACAATGAAAAATTTTACTCTCAAAGATTAACGAAAAGATTAAATGTTTCGGATGTATTTAATCTCTTAATCGTTAATAGAATACAGATAAATTACTGATTACCAATAACTTAAGAGCTACCACCTACAAAATCACTTTGCATTCTTTATAGCATATCCGAAGAATATTCACTCACAAAAATGATCACTAAGGGAGAAAAAATGTTGAAATCTTAATTAAGCCTAAAGCTTGACAGCTAAAATAATTAAACTCCAAAACATTAATCGTGTGACACTACCGCTGTCTGGGTCCACTTCTCTGGTCCAATAGTTTATTGTCACCCACCAATCAGATCAATGATGTTTCCACGGTAACGTCCCTCTATCAGTATTCCTAACACAGTCTTTGCCCCTAGTTGCGTGAGTCTTGTGAACCTTGGGGTTATTTGTTCAAGGACATGACAGGAATGAAGTAAAATACCCTCCCACCTGAGGGGAAAACCCAACCCAAGTTTGCGTAGGGTATTGCGAAAGTTGGATGGAAAAAGTTTTAAGCTATAGATTATCATTAATAACTTCTTCATATCCACTTTGTTGGTGCTTTAGTACGCGAATTTCAACACATAATGATCGTCTTATAACAAGACAAAATGTGTCCAGTATTGGTCTTGACATTTAATGCATATAAAGAAAGAACAATAATGATCGATTTTGAACAGTCACACTGGTTATCATCAGGCCCAATAAAGGTTTCTGCCATGATTTTAATATATTTTTTACTTAGGTAATTGGAGTTTTATAATTCAATTCAACCTGTCCAATTCCGATACTTAGGATTGTCTATTACAGTGCTAGTTCAATATACTCGCTCTCACACATGAGATGATAGTCCACTAAATAGTTGGATCTTCATGTACATGAGTTGCTATAGTCAACTACATAGTTGAATTGGCATGTACATGAGTTGCTATAGTCAACTACATAGTTGAATTGGCATGTACAAGAGATGCCTATAGTCAACTACATAGTTGGATATACTCACACATTAGATGCCTATAGTCAACTACATAGTTGAATTGACACGTACATGAGATACTATAGTCAACTTCATAGCTGAATCGAAATGTACATGAGTTGCTATAGTCAATTACATAGTTGAATTTACATGTACATGAGATGCTTATAGTCCACTTCATAGTTGAATTGACGTGTACATGAGATGCTACAGTCAACCACATATTTGGATATCCTCGCACATGAGATGCTATAGTCCACTACATACACATGTAGTCGACCCACACATGAGATGCGGCAAGCTGCCCCGTTGCCCTCTGTCGAGGGGTTGTGATCCAATCACATGTCTAATCCAATCTGGACTCATTAGCTCAAAGACAACTGGGGGAACCACACTTGCCCGGGGCAACCCATCTGGAAATGCTCAGGACTTTTGTTATGTGGTCTGGACGTTATTTATCCACCAGCTTTATCATGCCACTTGTCACATTATAATCATTGATTGAACATATTACCATTACTCATTAGATTTATCGTCCATGTGGATTAGCTGACTATGTTAAGGTCAATTCTCTCCTTTAAGTAGAGGCGTTTTGGCGTTTTAAGTTTGTTTCTTGTTTTTTAACAAACTCTGAAACTTATCACAATAATGTATTGCAGTACAGCCCCTAAGTGAAACCAAAGAAAATAAATCGTCAATTATACCCTAAAATTAAAGAATCTCATTTGGTCGATATCAAAAAAATTTAAACGTAACCAATATGAAACAGGTTTCAAATGATAAAATAAGATGTAATGTCTATTGCACTATTGAAGTCAATACAGTACCTTAACCTCTAAATATTTGTAAGTTTTTCGTGACCCCTTGTTTGTTTAAGGACATGAAGGGAATAAAATAAAATACCCTCTACACCCTTACTTTCAAGAATAAATAAGGCAGCAAGGGAATCGTGCTGTGAAAGTTTACGTAAGGAATACGAACGTTCTAAAACAGTACAGTAATTACAGTAATTAAAAGATTACTACCAAAGATACCCTACGGAAGAATTGCCATGATACCTGTTTTTATTCAGTAAACACTAAAGTCGAAACCAGTCGTCGAAACTGCAATTAATTGATTTGGCTTATTTTTGGATGATTTGCGTAATTACCCTCTCTCCTCCATATTAGTGTTGCTAGCGAATGGGGTTCAGAATATTTTCTGTCATGTGTCAATGGTACAACCTACGAGCTATGTTATATGCAACCAGCGTTTAAACTACGCCTACGAAACAACTTCACTAGCTCTCAAGATTAATTCACTACTTTGTTCAGTCGGCTTGAATATTATAGAGTTGCACAGCCTAATCTGTGGTTCATTAAAAGCTCATTTCGCGGTCTAGACAGCTGAGCCGGGGTGAGAAGAGGGGGGGGGGGTTGATTGTGCTTCTCCCGCAATTCACAATGAGGCAGTATGATTGCAACTGCTGATATGCAGCGGTGCATTCTGCATTGTGATATATATTGTGCAAGGGTGCAGTGTATGCTCACCCTTGGTTGCTCGGTTGCCATGGTTACCTACGTAATGTTCACCTGCCCCCCCCCCTCCATCACTGATACTCTGTTTCCCCCAAGTAGGCCTACGTTATGTAATTTATGGTTTCAAACTCCTCCAGCTTGATTCGCCCCGAGTTTATTTTTGAGTTTGTATACAATGTGGGGGCACCAAATCAATACATTTAGGAGATTTTCAGGATTTTTTATAACTTTGAAGACGATTTAAGTTAATACCCCCACCGCAGCAAACCTACAGACTAAGCGAATTTCCATCTACCTGGTTGTATTTCTACAAAAAACTTTCCCTAAAATAGTAAAATTTTTCCCCTTTTAATTAACATTAATTTTAATAAATACTTAAGTTTGCTTTTACAAGGAAGATAATAAGGTATGTTTTTTAAAGAATGTTTTTGATCCGAGAATACGGTAATAGATTATCCTCTTATGGGAAATTCGCTAAAATTGAAAACACATCGTAGTCTGAAGCGGGGCCAGTAATTATCGTCAGAGAAGAAACCCGTAGGGAGATCAGAAAATCCTTCGATGGAGAAATAAAAGATTCATCAAATGGGATAGAATCATAAAAAAAACAAACAAGAATCTTCGATCAAAAATATCTATTCCAAAAAAAGTACTAAACTAAACTTTTTGTACTCAAACAACCGACACGGAAGGTGTGGATATCAAAAACCCCTCTAACAAGAGAAGCAAATTTTTTTTAAGTAGAAGAATATGAAGCAATCCGGAAATCTCCACAGAAAGATCCTTTCATAAGTGTCAAACTGATCGAGGTATACTCAAACAATCGTCACAGGAGAGAACCCCATAGGAGAATCGGAAATCTCCTAATGAAGAAAACATTCTTCAATTGCGAATGAATCATCGAAACACTCAGGATTCTTGCACGGAAAGAACCTTTCTCGGTTTTGTATCAGCTGCCCACTTCCTCGCAATAAAACTCATCACCCAGCCATAGTGAGAGGTGATATAATTACAGCTTCCATTCTTTCACCTTTCACGTGAACCCACAGCCCAGATCTCGGCCGAGGATAAGCGCCGAAACGCGAGAACAGCCGTCGTGACTCTGGCAGGATGAAATGGCTTCAGACTACAGAGTGAAGTAGGAACAAATTCCGATATCAAGCTCGTTACTCCGCATGACTGCAAGGAATGTGATTGTGGAGAAAGGTTAGGTTAGAGAATTCTAAAAGCAGTCATTTGAAACCACATCCATTGGATTCCCTTAGAATCGTAAGATAATGTTCTGCTACGGGACACTACGTATGTGGCTTGTTGAACACAAACAATACTGATCCTACCTCTCTATAGGGTCTTAGTTTAGCTTCCTATATCTCTAGATAGTACAGAATATAACGCACAGAATCAAGAATATGATAGCTTGGAAGCAGCAAAATAAATATGTAAAAAGCCACGTCAATTATTAATCATCACTGTCGTTCTCATCCCGAAAGTTCGTACCCAAATTAAAGAACCTCGTTTGATCATTTCACCCCAAAACCCAATATACATGTAAACGTTTTGTCCGTTACCTTTTCTTGTTGACCAAAGTAAATGATTTTTCTGTAAGAAGAACCAGTTTTGTTTTCAATTTTATTTTAAATATTTTATAGCAACTGCTATAAAACGTGTTTGCAACAATTCATCTGCAGCTGAATTCGACAATACTTAAATGTTGCCGTAGACTTGCAAACACAAACGGTATGTGTTAAAGAAAGACGTTATCATTTCAAGAAATTGTCCTCGTATAAACATGACTACACAGAACGATCACAACAGACGCAAGTCTGACCAAACTCACTCAAATCCTTTTAATCAAGACTTACATCTACTTAAGAACCATTCTATCTTACCTTCATGGGCAGGCGGGGTGGGAGTGTCCCTACTTCTGTCCACGTCGACCGGATCGTCAAACTCCTTGCTCTGCTGCCTCTGTCGTTCGAAGTCATCGTCGTGCCCGTGTACGAGGGCCTTGGCCGCAGCGATGGCCGGAGACAGCAGTACGTCGTCCACCATGTCGACATCTGTCTCCGGGCCGAAGTCTTCGTCGTCGTAGTGGCCGGGTCCGGGGGCAGGGGCGCGGTGGTGCTGCCCATTGAACATCTCCCCGTTGAAGGGGTTGATGGGGGTCTCCATGGGCGGCCGCTTGGCGAGCTCCGCTGGATCGGTCAGGAACACGACCACCACTGAGATGTTGTCTGTCGAGCTCTGCTTCTTGGACAAGGCCACCAGCCGTTCAGACACCGCCTCTAGGTCCTCTGCAACAAGACAAAAGTGGAGGTTAGAGCAAGGAAAAGTTATCAAAAAAGGCAGAAGAGTACCAATGTCATAAAGGAACCAAATTCTCAGTAGAGAAATATCACATCTTCAAAAGTCTTTTACTTGTATACTTGAAACCTTGGCTAAGGACTTCTTTTTCTTAGGGACGTCTTCAGTTCATGGATTTAGAACGTGCATCAAGGTTTAACCATACGATAAGAGAGGTCAGGGTTTCCGTTGCACATATAATGTATGGATTGTCCTCAGTTCTAACCCTTGGTATACTCCTAAACTCTTAACTTAACCCAATCGTTCTTATGTACTTTCACCTAGTGATTGGACTGAAAATCCGAATCTTAATATTGCGTTAAGAGGTATACAAACCGTCTCGTTCTTCTTCGAAACTATTAACCCAGATATAAAATTATATCCCGTGACATGCGAAAAATCCAGCTGATTGACTCCATCACATTGCCGGTATTTCGCGCCATGGTGCAGGCTGCAGCCGGCGCGCGGCCGCGGCCACCCGACCAGAAACGGTGGCGAAATGGTGCAACGCTCCAGCGATTGGCGCCGCCGTCGCCTCGGTCACGGTGGCCGCGTGTGATGGCCCAGGATGACTGGGAAATACCAAGAATTTGCTGTGGTCCAACACTAAAATAAGTAGCAACTAGCAAAGATGAACCAGAAAATTTGTTGCGTGGATTTCGCCCATGTTAAATCAAACCTATTAAACAGTATTTTAGTTTCTATGAATGAAACCACTTCAGTTGAGATTAATGCTGTGGATTGAATCGCAATCAAATTCCCAAGTTTTTGTGATATATTGAGTCCTACAAAAACAATTAATATATTTTCATGCAAAGACAATTCCCGAAATTTAAGCTAGATAAGTTCTGAGCTGGGATTTAAGAAGAATACGTTTTGAATACTTTATCTATGTACTACGATGATGGGCAGGGTGTCAATTAAATTATTTGATTGATTTGTTACTAAGATTAGCTGGTTCTTTACCCGTAACGAATTATTAATAGCCTGATTATCAGGGACAGGAGTAGGCCTATGCAATCAAAAAATGTATCATGAAACATACTGATAAGTTTTCTAGTTTATTGTACTGTATATCTTTAACTAACATTTGACCCGTAACGATTAACTATACAAGTTCATGTTTAGAAGCTTGTCTTGTAATTCATTCGTATTATGGGGCACGCAATTGAATCAATCAAAATATGAGCTGATGATGAGAAAGACAGTTTTGCATCTTTACAAGTTTTACTCGACAAGACATTCTATCCTTAGCGAAATCGAGGAGAAAATTATGAATAAACGCACACCAAAACTGACTTCAATTAGCTACTATAACTACAACTTCGTATGCGACTATTGCTATATGTTAACAAATGCATTAATTTGTTTATTTCAGATTCTACAATAGATAAACCTCTTGCCTCAGCCTCATATACAAGAGGCGACCGATGCAACTTTGTATCCACATGTAAACATTGCGACCATTTCCCTCCATCGCGACATGAATACAAAGTTAAATGCCACATTCCCATGCAGACAATGTTATTCTCATGCCGTCAATGTCAGGAAGGGATGTCTTCACATCCCGGTACTCGAGTGAATCTTCGCGAGCATTTTAACACACCAGATATGGCGAGGGCCCGACAAGATAGGTATTATACTTATACACACACACAATATCTTATAGATTTACTATCCTTATAGATTTTCAAGGTAATTTTAGGTAGGTTTCCGTCCTTATAGTGCTTTTGGATTTTTAGTAATAATTTATTGCTATTTACCAACTTAAAAAATGTATTGAAACATAACGATTTATATAATATAAACTTGTCTTTGGGTATTCTTTGGGTATTCTTAACAAAGTGTACGTTACTGCTTGCTTCAAACAGGAAAATTAAAAAAATCCTTTTCGGAGGACAAGTAACAGCGTAAAAAGCGTAGACAATAGAACGTTTTAAAGGACGTTTAATGCTAGAAACAAATTCCATCTGATTGGAATTTCAAATGGGAAAACGAGCTTAAATTTTTAGAGCACCTCCTGTTTAAAACATCGAAAAAAATAAGCCAAATTCTCTCCTAAGATAGTGAAGTAAAGAGTTCACATATGTGAAAACTAAAAAAGGAATCGAGTTCAATGTACAGTTCCATCGTGTATTTACTGAATTGTCACGAATAAGTAAAAACCCTACAATACAAAAAAAAACTTGCCGTAGTCTGTTAAGTAATCACAAATGTTCGCGGTTATAAAATACGAAATCAATTTGAAAGAGGTGACTGTGAAATAAGCGCAAAATTCCACCGAGTCATGGTAACAGTGCGTGGGAAAAAGGTTGATGTGTTACAGATACGTTATGTCATTATCATTCAATTATTTGGTCGAGCATAGTGTAAAAATGAAAGTGAATCCAGCAAAAAAATTAACTTGGTTTTCTTAAATTCGAATTTCAAAATCATTGTGCGCTCTGCGCAATTTACAACCCCCGGTTGTTGACAGTGAAATCTAGTGCGGACTTCACCGAAAAGATAGAATTTAGATTTATTAGTAAGTTTAACACTACTAATCAATATGAACAGCTTATCAAATCATGCAGAGCCAGAAAAAGTAGGCTACGCAGACCGCAGAAAAGGATAAAAATAGTGTTGGCGTTCGATCTTTCGAACATACTGGACTTTATGTGAAATCCTTTCTCCCTCTTGAAGTGATAGCAATATATATATTTTTTCTTAAAGGTCCAGAACTCTTGTTCGCTCCTTCATAGACCATTTCAGCGAAAAACGGACGCTAAAGTAGAGTCAAATGCGCATTTACAGCAAAGCTAGGGATACGCAACGACGTAAAGCTAGTGGACTTCGACGAGTGGCATTTACTGTATAATGTAGTGTGTAGAAAAATACATAGCCGAGAAAATCCACCTTAACTATTAATAATTAATGTCTTTAGTCGTCACCGGACGAAACATTACCATTACTCATACATTACCATCTTAACCTTTAAGCTTACACCCTGGTGATTCGTTCCACACCATATCCTCCTAGGGCTAGGCTGGGGCGACTACACTGTCACAACAACGTGATGAAAGAGGCTTTCAGCAATGTTACACACACTCTGACATTATAGCTTGTGGGGTTCCTATCTTGGAAAGATTCACTTAGGGGAAGGTGTGTTGTGAGAAATCCGCTTATGTTACAAAGTATTTTACAAACATTATCGTTATCAATGAGTTAGGTTTCTATATAAATCAACCTTGCAATGTGTGGCTTTCCTATAAATTGTCATCTCCGAAATAGTTTAATAAATAAAAAAATAAGGTGTTAAAGGTTATGATTTGTTACGTTTGAGTATTTTTTCAAGCTGTTTATAAGATCGATTTTTTTCATATAAAACGTAGGCCTATATCCGAACAAAATTAATTTTGATGTCTAAGTAGTTTTAAATCCTATTTTTGGTGAGACAACAAAAATTTGTTTCAATAAATATTTTTTTTGTTACGGTTCTTTTAGATTCAATAATTTATTGCACGATTTCCTACATTTAGTTAATATAATGAAACCTTTTCGAAATAATCCTGAAAAATTAAAGACGCTTTTGAACGGTGAATTCACTTACAAAACTAAGCCATTTATTTACTGCAAAACGTAAAGAATTGTTAAATATTTTGGCAGAACCAATAACCCTTTTCCCACCTCAAATCAATTAATTAACTCTTTTGAGAACGACAACCTATAGTTACGTGTACACCGGGTGGGTAATATAAATGTGTATCCTATACTGTTTGTATATTCATTTGGATAGGAAAGGCACAGATTATAGAACAAATAAAAATATAACAAAATATCAATATATTTTAGAATTTCAGACGAGTATTTCACATAGTTGAGTCAAACGATCGCGTCAAAATACCAAAACAGAAATATCGCCACCACAAAGTATTGGGCTAGGCTCCAGACTCGTGGAAAATAGCCAAAGAATGCATCAACATTCACCAGAAACTACGTCAATAAACTTGCCGCTTTATAATACATCCAAACTGCAACATGCGTCATTACTGTTCAGATAAATTGCAATTATTCAATAACTGTGTCATTGAGATAGGGAAGATATTTTCTGTGCTATCATATTACAATACTGATTACTGTATTTTGAAATAAAAAACAATGAGTCCGTATGTATTTTAAATCATTTCGTAATAATCTTAAAGTCCTCGCAAAGTCATAGTGCGTAATCCCTTGAATACATTGTATTAATGTTCGATGTTACAAAAACTCTGTCTAAGCACCATCAACCTGATCGATATGTAATACACCTATGACAGAACGATATGGTATGGACTATTTCTTTAGTCATAAAAAAATTAAACCAGAAACATCCTACTCAGACCAAACAAAAGCATATATGCGAAACTTGAGAACCCTTGAACTGTGCAGTTGTAATCGTGTTAAATGGATAATTTTTTTTTAATTTTTCAACTAAATCAATTTGTTCTTCTTCATCCGTTCATTTAGTTTCAACTGTGTTTTCTGGCACTGGTCGGTTAGTGAATGAATACCATCATGTTCTAGGTTACTTCTTAAATTAAGCCGAAGTCAATTTTTATATCACGAAACGTTGAAAAAAACTATAATGGTCTTGTCTGCAATAACCATTTAAACAACAGCAACCACAAGTGGACGTTTGGTTAAATATTTCTTACAGTAAAGAAAAATAGTCCGATAATAATCGAATAGCTATTAGTAATCCCTATAGAGTTCTAGAATTACATCAACGTCACATCAATTCTTATCTAACCATTTCATGCGGTTTTTGCGAACGCTTCTTGAGAAGAACCCAACACGGATCCACCAGCGATGCACACATGGACCCCCCTCCACCTCCAAAAAAGGAGACATCAAGGATAAACATAGCATGTGGTGAAAATCTGACAATCAGATAGTGACCAGCTGTTCAAAGTGAACGTCTTTTAGCTGTTGA